GAAAAGAAAAATCTATTTTATTACTCTCATGTGTAATACCTGCAAATAGATGAAATGACTTAACTACTTGATTGTCTTAGTGGTGGTTCACAGCAGTAGGTCACACACACACACGTATACTCACACACCATTGACACTCTACTTTCATAATTGCCATCTTTTGTTAAAATTTTTAAATTAAAATTAGTTTCCTTCTGTTGCATAAAATAGCATACCAAATAGGACCAAAAGTTCAACCCCTTTGAAGTTTTTTGGTAATGTGTCTAATTAAAAATAACTAGGCTCTCCAATGCATAATTATATGAACACCTAATACCCTAAATTTCCAGCCAATTTTGTTTCAAACATAAATATGCACCAGAAGTTTGAATGATCGACATACTACTCCCTGCAGTATCTGTACTGTTTCTGAATCAAGGCTCTTTCTTGAGCTCAGTATTTTCACTACATTTCCTTGCTGTGCAATCATCTCCCAGTTGGACAATTAATGTGCTTTTTCTCCGCAGCCCTTGGCATGTGACACCCCCCCTTACCCTGTATTTGAGCATGCACCATATACCTTCTTCACTCTGACTGGTTTTGGCAGTGACCCACAATCTAAATCTCTTTCCTCCATTTGATATAAGTGAAACTATAATTATCTAGGGGTAATTTCAAATTACTACTTCATTCCACTAGCAACTGATGAAGATTAGTGGTCTTGCCTTGCATCTGAGTAAGTCGGCAACATAATCACAAGAGAACTCAGCAGGCAACATTTGATTCATGTGAACTCAATTACTTCTGTCAAACACATTCACTTCAATAAAAAGCAGAAACTTCCAAAATGGGTTTCTGCTAACAATTTCATGCTCAAAAAAATTTCATTTGACTCTTAAGGGAAAAAAATAGTGTGAATTTCATCAGAAATAATAATAAATAACAAATATGGAAACATACTTGAATAAATGGATTTAATACATTATTAGTTCCTGAAAATAAAGAACATTTCAAGGAAATAAAGTTGTATACTTAAGGCAGCTTATTATAGAAAATTCAGGCATATAAGTAAGCTTTAGAAAAATGAATTCACTCTACGTTTTAACGTAATACAATAGAAACCAGAGTACTTGCTTACCTTGTTAAAATCAGATTATTATGGAAAAGGTAGTCAAGTTCTCCTAAAGGAAGTTAAATATGAACTGCTAAATGGACAGGGACTCCTGAATCACTTCTTGGTTGTCTTCTGGGTTGAAGACGCCGTATGTTAATAAGCTGCCTAGCATTCTGATTCCTTAAGGTTTAGTTGCTAAAAGCCTCTCGGTCAAGTCTATCGTGCCCTGCACGCATGTCAGGTCACATGAACATGATCCAACAGCAACTACCTGGTCACTTCCTAGTACAGATTCAGTAAATCTTAACATATGACAATCATTACAACAGGTTTACTCAAACTTCACCTTCTTATTACAGCCTTAATTAAATCCCAACATATTTTGATTATAAAAGAAACTGAGTTATTAAATGTAAATATGTAATGAGGCTATATTATAAACACTTTTCAGCATGTGATGTTTTGAGGTCTACAAAAATCACTAAGACGACCTCTGTGATAGTTAATATATCATATGCCAATCATATATGATTTAATACCTGAAACTTGAAAATTTGGCCTGAGAATCTTAGGACTAAGTAAAGATTAATTTAAAAGACATATTTGTCAATTTTTATGACCAAGGATGTTTTCTAAAGATAAGTACAAAGGTAAGATAAACACAATTATTTATTTAAAATAAATAATTTTAAAACATAGTATTCTTTTATGACTTTGCTCATCCTATTTCCTCTTTTGAATTCATTTTCCTTACCTCTTGCCTTTTGATTTCCTTCTCACTTCTTAAGATTACATACACCACTGCTGTAATCAAGGAGTATGTAGTCTAATGGGGGTGGGGAGTGAATCATTAATCAAATAATAAGTTAACAAATATGTGCAAAATCATAACTCTAAATGGTTTTATGAAGGAAAATATGTGAGTAAATAACAGAGGGGGATGACCTAGTCTTCAAGGATCAGGGCCAGCTTCCTTGAACAAGGAGTGTTGGAGCACAGATCTAAAGGATTAGTATGAGTTGATCAGGCATAACGGAGGTAAAAGAATTTTTCAGGGGAAGGGAACAGAATCATAGAAGAACAAGTAATGAAAGTGAGCCTTTGAGAAACTAAAAGCGAGCCAGTGTGGCTAGTGCATAGTTTAAGATGTGTCTAGAGAGCTAACAGGCGCAAAGTCATGCAGGATCTTAGGCTACTTTAAAAACTTTATTTTAAAGGAAACCATTGAAGAGTCTAAAGTAAGTGTGTTGGGACTAGGCAGGGACTGAGGAGGATGGGTGTATGCAACTACCAGATTTGCATTTTTGTAGAGATGATACACTCACATGGCTCAAAAACCAAAACTACATAAAAAGTCATTCATTATATTTAAAAATAAAGTTCCAACAAGATATGCTTATAGATTGGAGGAAAAAGGAAACAGAGAGAAGTGGGTGATTTTATGAGATAATTGCGTGGTAGTTTCTATAAATACTTTGGGATGGATTGAAAGTGGGAGGTGGGTAAGAAGGAGATGTCAAGAATGCTTCCTAGATTTCTGGCCTATCAAGGATAGCTCCAAAACATCAACATCCCTACTTAAAGGTTTGGGGACAGTACATTAAAACCATAGAGTGAGTTAGAGTTATGGAGGAATTGTATATGATACGCACACTTACACACATACATACATTTACATTTGCATGTACATATAATATATAGGTTTAAATGCATATATTTATTTATGTGGGACTATCTGTGATGCCTTAATTCTCCAAAACAAACCTTCAACATTTATTTATTCATTCAATAAGATGTTATTTATAGAATAAACATTTGAAATTCCTCCTAGAGCGGCCACATATCATTTGTACATGGGAAAACACCAAGAGGCACTATTCATATAGACGGCACTGTGTAGAACAACTTCTGGTGCTGTGTCTACAGCCTTCACGACCCACAGACTTTGTTCCTCCTACCAGAGTAGGGTAATAAACACATTTATTGACGTTTCCTCCAAGGTAGCCTCTCCGGTTCATCCCTCTTTCTCTCAGGTCTCTACTCCTCAATTAGTAAGAGTACGAGAATAGGAAGTTGCAGTAAATGCATGCACTAAAAAACATCCTGTCAGAACACTACTTCCCCAAGATGTTTTCATGATAAGCACCTGCAGAATATTTTAAGCCCAGCAACAATCAAAAATTATCCTCTAAATGCAGAGGTCCTTTATACTCTGTGTGGATATGGACGAAGACAAAAGTCACTGTGTTTGAACTAAAGCTACCACATTATCATTCGCTAAAAGGATATAAACAAATAACCAAATCAAGCATGCTGCTTTATAATAATAGTAAACAAATTATTAGAAATAATAAGATTCATATTGTAAATATTTTAGGGAAAAGAATACAGTGTATTCAACGGATTATATTTAACTCCCACTTCTGATTCTACAATTACATATAGCTTCACCTTATACCAAGAAGGCTGCTCAAAAGAAAAGTTAAGGTAATGTTAGTTAGAACTTTCCTTTAAATCCAAACCTAAATAAAATCTGATTCATTTCCTTGACAAACTTAAAAGCATATCTGAAACATAATTTTGATTTAATAAAACTTTACATATACATATAAAGGAATAGAGAGTTGTAGATTACGTGGAGAAATAATCATGCACTTGATTGTAGATGGTATACAAATATGAGGTGATGCTGAAAAAGGAAGTTTAAATATGGTGCAATGTGTTTCTAGAGAGAAATAATTAAGCAAAGTCAGTATGATTTACAGGAAATTTCCTAGTTTTGTTTCCCTGGATCTACGGTCAATCTACAGTCAGGCCTGAACAAACTTGAGCAAGTTTGATCCACATTATATACTGGATTTAGAAAAAAAAAAATGCACCTGAAGCTACCAGTGGGATTAGGGGACTTCTTAGCATTTGGTTTTCTCCTCAGTTAATACACATTAACTCTCATTACCTATTTGGCATGTACACATCATGGTGAAAACAAGTTCAGGTTCATAAGGATGGATTTTTCCTCTTTTAAGGAAAACGTGTTTTCTTCTTCATAGGCTGTTCTTCACTTTGCATAAAGTACTATCCTGTTCCAAAAAGCTATTGATAAAGATCCAAGTTTAAAAGGGCAACTCACCACACTGTGGGCAAAATGAGGGTATTTTCAGATGAAGAAGGAGGCATGCATGATCGAGTTTCAATTTAACAGAAAAATTAAAACAAAAAAATTTCCAAGTGCAAATTGCTTTGAAATGACCTTTCTGTATTGGCTCTATCTCCAAACAGTTATTTGCTTGGGTTCTACTTATTAGGCATCTAAAATTGACCTGGAAATTCTTAAAAGCAAGCATGTAATAGCCATTATATGTAAACAACACAGTAAACTAAGTCCTGTCACCTTACACATATTTTCCAATGAAGTTCATGTGGCTGAACTTATATCTGAAGAAATTTTAAAAGGCAGTTAAAAGCATGCCAAAACAAGTCTCATCGAAGGTTTACATTTGAATTTCATAAAACGAGTAAAGAGTACTATTTTCTCTTCATGGAGATAAAGTAGCAATAAAGTAGCAGACACTAATCATACAAAGAAAGTTATATACAAAGAAATAATCCCTTGATCTGAGCTGTCCAAAAATAAAACTTCTGAAAGCAAAATGAATATGAAATATTACACTGCAAGTAAGACACTCTCTGATAATTATGTATATCCAATAAAATATAACATTAAATCTTTCATCATTGCCAGAAGTTTTAAAATTCTGAGAAGAAAGAAATCAAACTTGAAGAGAAATAATCTCCATAAATTAGCAAAGTAAAAGGTCGTTTGCTCATAATCACTGGAAGAAATACATATATATATATGATCCAACTGAAGCAGACAACCCCTGCAGATCCAAAGATAAACTCTTACCTTGACAGGTGCCGTTTTTCTCTTCATATCCTGCCTTGCACATGCATTTCCCAATGGGCACCAGCCACTCCCCTTCAGCGCTGCAGTGCATTTTGGGTGGTTCATCTGTCACAGAATGGTTGACACAGGAGCCCGACACTTCAAGCAACTGTGAAGAATCAGCTCCAGTGATTGTGTCAGGGAAGACAGCCAAGTGTCGTACCACAGAAGGGCACTTTTTATAGTACACACGAACGGAAACGAGAGCAATGCAAGCACCCACATCTTGAAAAGCGAGATAAAATCCCTTTTTGCTTAGAGGTCCTACATCTCTGACCTCTGTATTCAGTTTCATGACACGGTCACCAAGATCAAGTTCTGTAAAGCTTTCATCGGCAGCAATGGTATCAATTTTTATGTACTGGTTTTCCTTGATGTTTCTCCCATTCTCATCTGACTCAAAGTAATACATGTTAAAAGTTTCCTTACAGGTCCCCAGCCCTCCAGGAAGACTGTTGCAGTCCCGCAGAGTAAACTTGAGTTCTATGAAGATTCTGGAAGCACCTTCGTTGGAGATCCAACTGGTCAAAAGCCAGTTATTTTGATTCTGTTCCATAACTTTGCATACTTGGTATGTGTGGATAGGGGCATAATTTTCATCAACTTCACCAATCTCTTCCCACTGTGTAATATAATAGAAGGACAAAAAAATTAAAAGACAATTAGAAAATAACCAGCAAAAATAGTCAAAGAAAACTAATTCAGGTGTAAAATTTCTGCTTCCTCAATATACAGTATTGAGAGAAGGAGCTATACCATGAAAATTTTTAAAAATTATTTCCCTTTTTTAATTAAGTAAAGTATTAGTCATTGTCTCCAATGTAACTCAAGCATGAAGACACGTAAATGATATTCCCCAGAAAAAAATCATGTATTTCAGAGTAATAGTAAAAGAAAATTCAGTATGGATGTGACTAACAAGAAGCAGTGAAAGGCAAGTATATATATTTGGAAGAAAGTTTGAAAGAAAAAGGGTAGATAAAGTTTGAAAGAAAAAAGGAAGTACAAGTTTTTTAAAAATGACAATGAGAAAAAAAGCAATAAATGTGGAAAAGAAGGGATAAAAATGTAACGTGAATCCACATTTATTTAACCCTGGCAGGTTACAAATAACACAACAATGTAATAAAACTTGAAAGAAAATTCATTAGTTTAAAATTAATAATAAATGTTTATTTCATTGAACCAATCTGGTTAGGAATCTTTTACAGTTGGATAACTAAGTGTTTATTCATACATTTATTCACAAATATAAACCTAGAGACAGACAGAAAATAGAGATAAAAATTTTAGATTAGTAATACTGAGAGCCTTGTCATTTGAAATACTGAGATTTTTTTGTTATACATATCCTGGGAATGTATTATTCTTTCTTACCAATGCATTATTTTATGCACAATGACCTTAGAAGTTCTGAATATACACAGGATGTAGAAAAATTAAGTATGATTTATATAGCTTCCAAAATACTATTCAGCCAAAGAAGAGATCTAAACCTATCTCTTTCCTAGTAAAATACTACGGTTTTGAGAATGTCAATGCACCACACCACTTTCTAAACAGTGTAAAACCAGATTTTTCTTCTTCATAAAGGTTATTATAATAAGAAATTTTAAAAACCTGTCTACAATCTGTGTGAATAAAACTACATATAGTTTTAAATCTTTAAAAATTGTCCTGAAACACACAGAGCAATGTAACCATACACACTGGCTTTCAATAAATCCAGAATGTGATTTCAGACATTAAGTATTAACTTCACAGAAACTCATTTAGTTAGACATGAAATTAAATGGAGCATTATTTTTTGATTCTGTTGAAATGACAAAGATATGAAAATGTGGCATCACAAGGGATGCACATAAATCATATACCTCAGATGGCCCCTCTCAGAGTTTTAGCTGCCATCAGACAGACAGAAGTAAAAGGTGTTAATGAGGGAAAACTGCTGAGCTCCTTAAAATCACAGAGACATCAAGGTTGTATCTTACCTAACAACTTTCACATTAGGGTGTTACATGAAACCTTAGTTCATTCATTTAATCTCACTTTTGTCCTCTCTCAAAATTTATCTAAATTGTACTTAGCCTCTGATTTTCTAAACCAGCTTTCTCTCTCATTAAACTACTTACAGTTTCTTCCTGAAGCCATCCAGGTATCAATACGTTTATTATAAATGCTTAATGAATGTCATGATTAATATTTCATGGAAACAAGCACCTCAGCTAACCAAACGAAAACAACAAAAATGATCAACTTACTGTAAGAAGATTAATTAAATGTATTTTCTTTGCATTAGTAAATTGGAAAAGAGCATCAAAAAACTCTTCTCTGAAAAAGGAAAACCAAAATGCTACGTTATCTCTGTTTTAGATTCTCTTATTTTTTAATAGTCCTCCAATGCAAAATAGAAACATATTTCAAATCCTTGGCCTTAAATCATTTATGGAAGACTCATTTCTGCATCACATATTCCAATAGGATCCGGCTAGCAAGTCAAAGGAATTGGACAAGTAAAAGGAATTGGAATAGCAGCATCTTCCAAGATTATAAGGCAAGCAATTCACAGTCTTTGTACAAAGTCCAAGGTACCACAGATATTATTAAAAATGCAAGCCAAGCAGCACTTGACAAGACAGCTTAATAGTTACTGCTTCGGGTGATAATTTCAAAGTATGTGTATAGGCATATTACTTCTCTGAATATTCTCAATTAAGAAGAGGAAAAACTGTAATTTTCTTTGATGTTAGGATTTATCATGGTCGGATTTTATTTATTTTTCTTTTCAAGTGTCCAAAATATAAATGAAGGCTCACATTTACTATTTCTAATGCATGAATAGGAGGACTTTAATTTAAATAATTATGGCTATAAGCCACTCAAAGAATCAGAAAGGTAATATATACACATTTCCAATAAATATCTGCTCCTATTTAGACAAATACACTAAGAAACAAGCAAAAATATTTCATTTATTTTAGATTGACCAGCTGAAATAAAACGTTGAATTCTTCAAAGTTTTCTTCCCTTTTAATACAAAGGAGACATCCTGCTGTTCTCAGCAAATATCTTATTTAGGAAGAAGAAACAAGGAGATGGAACAGAAAGTAATACTCATCAAGAACTTAAGATCACAGCAGGTATATTCCTAGATGCTTTCGCAAATGTCATGTCAAGGAGATTACCCTAATTTAATGAAGGGCACAGACAGAAAACACAATATTTTCAGTTTAATTTTGTTGGAATTCCTATGATCCCATGGTTTAATAAAATATTTGCTGACTACTACAAACGAGGTGCCTAGGCCTTTTGGAGGCATGGTCACTGAACATAATATAGTTGGTGTAGCTCTGTTCTTCAGGTCTGGCTACTCCTCAAGACCCACCCTCTGAGCCCAGTCTTTTTCTTTGTGTTTGCTTCCTCCTCATTCCTATTTCTTTGCCTTAATATTAAAGAACTGGTTACACACTCAGCTTGGGCTGGCTTGATTTCTCTCTCAAATGCTTGGGCTTGCTCCTTTTCCCACTGGCCACTGAGAACTCCAAGTCAGTTGCATTCTAATCCCATGCTTGGCCAGGCATCACAAGTCAGCCACATTGATCAGAGAAGTGCAAAAGAAAAAAGACTTATTTTCATATCCATATGTGTATCATGGAGTTACCCACTTATCCTACCCAAAGCCATTAAGAACTATTTTCTCCCTGTCTGCCTCTCATTGCCCTGTTAGGTTTCTTGCCCCAAGCTCCTATTGCCTCTTATCTTGTTAGCATTGATTTCATTTCCAATCCCCTAGCTTATATATCACTTCTTTTACTTTCACAACTTAAAACACTGATTCAGGAGACACAGCCTAAAGTAAAATCTCCCCTTACATTGTGTCCCCAAATACACATAAAGAATCATCAAGCAAACAGAGTCGATTTTGACCTTTCAAGTTATGGGGGTGCCTATTATCTAGTTCTGTTTTCATTATTATGCATCTATACAGAGATTAATTTATTAAGGCTAAAGTACAGTGGTCAGAAACTTTGTAGTAGAGGCCTGCATATAAATACTTGACTGGTCTTGTACAGAGGAAAGATTATCAGCCTGGAGCTCTAGAATTAGTTCCAGCTCTTACAGTATCTAGATGTATAAACCAAGACTTAACCGCTGGCATACTGATTACCATAATTTCGAGTGAGAACTGAAACCCTCTATCCCAGTCATCTAATATTGAGTATAAAACATCAGAAGTGGCCTTGAAAGACCTGGTCTTATTGTTCATTTTAGAAATGAGAAAACCGAAGACCAGATTTTCCCAAACTCACAAAATACCACCCTGATACCATCTGAGTATCCCTTCTGCCTGTCTGTACCTCTGCCTTCTTATTAGCATGTTTCTGTCCTTGAAGTCTGGGTTTGCGTGTGGGATTCCTTGATTCACTGCATTGATTGCTACTCCACTCTGTTGTTACTAAATTCACATTTTTTTTTCAGACATGATGTAACCATGAATAATAATTCTTTCTTTCTTTCTTTCTTTTTCTTTCTTTTTCTTTCTTTCTTTTCTTTCTCTCTTTCTTTCTCTTTCTCTCTTTCTCTTTCTTTTATTCCTTCCTTCCTTCCTTCCTTTCTTTCTCTTTTTCTCTCTC